ATGAGCTAGGCCTGCATCATGTGACCTGGCTGAGACCCAATAGGTTATCCAAAATCAAGTCCCTACAGCAGTGGCACACACTAATCATACCAACCCAGTGAAACCTCAGAAGTTTGACTGACAGTGCAGGCCATAGCAGCCTGACTGATCCCCACACCTCCGTGCTCCAGCTGCTGCCTCCAGGGCCTCCAGGCCACCAGCAAGACCTGTCACCACACCAGCTGCCCCTGCCTCCACCACTACCACCAATCCAGAGGGGAGGTGGCGCAAAGTCCACCACCACCACTGTTGCTGCTGCCACTGCCATGCTCCAGTCACTGCCACATGGAGGGGAGGCGGCACAAAGTAATACAGTGCAGGCCACAGCAGCTTGACTGATCCGGAGAGGAGGGGCCAGCATACACTGTCCCTGTCTGCAACTCACTAGCACATGGCAGTGGGAAGGGTCATCTAGTCAGCACGCTTCAGAAGAATTGTAGCCAACAAAAAAGAAACTGGGGCCTCCTGAAAGAAGCAAAAAAGATGGGAAAAGGAAGCAACAACAAAAAGTCCACAGGTCCCAACCCTGAGAACATTGACCCAGGACAGCTAAATACAAAGGAGAATGAAAACAGCAAACATGCAATATCAGACACAGCACCAGTGGACATAAAGAGATATCTTTGGGACCTCATAGATGAGTTCAAAAGTGAGATATTTAGCCAAATAAAGCAAGATATAAGAAGATTAATAAAAGAGATACTAAGCACCCCTCAAGTAGACACAGATGGAAGAAGGGAGGAACTCAAACAAAGGAGAGAACCATTTGATGAAGAATATAAAGAAAATATAGAATACATGAAGCAGATTCAAAAGAGATCACCAGGAAATTAAAACTCTATGGAAAGATGGCAAATCAGCTTGAAAGAAACTAAGAATAGATTATCTAAACTGGAGGACAATTTTGCAATGTGGGAGTATGAAAGGGAAAACTTTTTAAAAATAACAAGGAAATAAGCAGTAAAAATACAAAGGCTAAAAGACGACAAGAGGATCTATAATTTGAGGATAAAGAATGTGAATGAAGAAGCTGTATAAACAAAGGAACTAAAAAGGTTATTCATGGAAATAATTAAGGAAAACATCCCAAACATAGGAAAAGGAAATGATATTCTGATATATGAGGCATACGGAACTCCAGCCACCTACAACCAAAACAGAGCTACCCTCAGGCATATAATAATCAAGAACCCAGAAATTCAATATAAGAACAGAATATTTTTTTAAATTTTATTTAAGAAGAAAAAGAAAAGAAAAAAATCAGAGAAAGGGTACAAGTTATACAGATTTACAGAAAAAAATAAACAGTAGGAAATCACTAGTAAATGGATTACATTTTGTCATCTCAGAAACAATTGTTCAAGTTACAAAATTAAAGCTTATAAAGTGGACATTCCAACAGTGAGACTGCAAACAGTTCTGTTCAATGATAAGAACAGAATATTAAAAGCTGTTAGAGACAAGAAACATAACCTATAGAGGAAGGCCCATCAGAATAACAGCAGACTTCTCAACACAAACCACTAAGTCAAGAAGAGCCTGGAGTGAAATATTCCAAGCCCTGAAAGAAAATAACCTCCATCCCAGATTGATATACCCTGCTAAACTGTCTCTAGAAATTAATGGAGAAACAAAATGCTTCCAAGACAAAGAGGAACTTGGGAAATTTACAACCACCAATCCAACTCTACAGAGAATATTGCAGGGCATTCTAGAGAGAGAAAAAAGTACTAAGATTCCAGGAACAGAGGCAGAGAGACATTAATGAATGGAGCAGAAAACAGAATGAAGAGGATAAGCAGACAACTGATGGCAAAAAAAGAGTATAACAGAAATGAGGCAGAGAAGATTTTATTCAAAACTGTTATGATTGATAGTATCAAGTCTGAGAGTATAGAAAACTACACTAAAAATGACAAGACTCTACGATACACATTCTGGTTTGATAACTGCCGGTTTTTGAAATTCTATACTATATACAAAGTTGTGTTTTTATTAATACTGTTATGTACTGATATATTCAATTATACTATGTTTGATGATATAGCCAATTCTATTGGAGATAACAAGAACCAACACAGGAACCATGGTAGAACTCTTTGTACAATGGTCTTATATGTTTATTTTGTTTCATGTGTTTATAGGAATATGTTTTGTTTTGCCTTGCTTTGTTTTGTTTCTCCCTCTGATATAGAAAGGATAGAAATACATGTTAAGACTCATGCTTGTGTAGAATCTATAAACAGTTTATGAAAACTGATCTTATGACACATGATGAAATGAACAGATACTCTGAAGAAAAAGAGACACTAATGTACCCAGTGCTGATCCTGTAGTGTCATAATGTGAAACCCAGCAATAGTATTATTCTTTGTTGAGAGTGATATTAGCCTGCTTGGGTTTATTCATTCTCAACATAATTGAGGATATGGGTGTATGTTTAAGTGTATAGGACTGATAACCATATTTCTAAGTTTTTTTTGGATAGTTGAACAGAACTGGTTGCAGTCTCACTGTTTGAATCCCCACTTTATATACTCCACTTTAGTATCTTGAATAACTGTTCGTAAGAAGACAATCTGTAATCATCAACTAGTGATTTCTTACTGTTTATTTTTTTCTTTGAAATTATGTATTATTTCTACCCATTTTCTGTTTTGTTTAGTCTTTCTTTAAATTAAATTTAAAAAAACAGACACTACAGTACCCAGTGCTGATCATGGAGTGTCATGATGTGAAATCCAGCAGTACTATTATTCTTGGTTCAGAATGATTTTAACCTGCTTTAGTTTGTTTACTCTAAACGTAAATGAAGATAGGGATAACTGCGTGTATGTTTAAGTGTATAGGATTGACAACCATGTTACTAAGTTTTTGTTGGACAGTTGAACAGAACTGTTTGCAGTCTCACTGTTTGAATTCCCACTTTACATGTTCTATTCTTGTACCTTGAACAACTATTTGTAAAACGACAATATGTAAACATCAACTAATGATTTTTTTTTTTTTTTTTTGATACCAGGCATCGAACTCATGACCTTGCACTTGCCAGGCAGGTGCTTATACCACTGAGCTAAATCCCCAGCCCCAACTAGTGATTTCTTACTGTTTATTTTTTTCTCTGAACGTATATATTATTTTTACCTATTTTCTGTTTTGTTTAGTCTTTCTTTAAATAAAATTAAAAAAAAAAAAAAAGAAGTGGGACTTGGGAGACTGAGGCAGGAAAATCGTTTGCAAGTTCAAGACCAGCTTGGGCTACAAAAGTGAGCCCAAGGCCAGCTTGAACTGCAAAGTGAGACCCTGTCTCAAAAAGAATTTTAAAAAGGAAAGAAAGAAAAAAAAAAGAAAGGAAAAGAAAAAAGGTGAGGAAAGCCTGTCTGCTCTGCTGTCACGGACTTCAAAAGCAATAGCTGGCAAAACCTGTTTTCGAATCGTTTATATCATCCTGTAAGAGTCTCTGACAGCCACTCACCTTCCATTCACCTTTATCTCTGGCTCCTTTTCTCCAGAGACCTCCAAAGAAACCTCATTTGCAGCTCTTGGGTCGGTGCTGCCCTCTAGTGCTCACACTTTTATAATGAACTATTTGAACACGGTCCTTTGATCTGACTTAGAAGCAAAGAAAGTCTGCCAAAAATTAAATAACATCTTATTAACTCAATGGTATTCAGCTCCATTTTGGACTCTGTCATCTTCGTTGAGGGCTGTCTTCTGCACCAGAAGACCCAGTCGCAAGCCAGGGACTCCCCGCCATCCCTACACAGCCGAGGTGGAACAAACAAAACTATCTCCAAGCATGGCCAGTGTCCCCAAGGGAGCAAAAAATGGCTAAGGGAATTAGCCTGGAGCTTGTCCAGAACATTCACATTAGATTTGAAAATCACAAAGAAAAAGGTTTTCCTTCTCTGAACTAAGTGCTTCCTTTTGTTTGGGAACTTTTTGTTGGTTTTAATTGGGGGAGGGGGTACCAGGGATGGAACTCATGACCTCAACTGTGCCAGGCAGGTGTGAACTAAGTTCTTTGTGGGAAATAAAGCAGAATCTCATTTCTTCATGAAAGACAAAACTATAGAGTTCAATTTTTCTTCCTGTCTCAGCCTCCCTGGAGCTGGAAATTCAGGCATCCAATGCCTACTTTGTTTATATTGGTTTCATAGTCTCTTCTCTAAATGCAATTGTAAAGTCTTCTAATGATGTAATAAAGCAAAGCACAGATATTTTTTAGGCTTTTAAAGACAGCCAAATGATTTAAAACTAAAATCTAGAAAGTTTACATGACTGGATGTAAGTACAAAACCAAAGAGAGCTGTGTGTGGCACTACATTCCTGTAATCCCAGTACTCAGGAAACTGAGGCAAGAAGATCTCTGTGAGTTGGGGGCCAGCCTGGGCTACATAGTGAGTTCAAGGCCAGTCCAAACTTACACAGCTAGACCTTGTCTCAAAAACAAACAAAGAGAAAACACAAAATCTGGAAAAATGCCACTCTTATTCAAGAGGGAGAAATAGGCACACGGGACCAGGTAATGAAGAGTCTTTTGTCAGATGTGCAAAAGTTCAGGTTATCCTGGAATATGTAATTACTCCAAAGTATCAGGAGGCCTTTTGAAAGCAAATCATTCTAGAAATTAGTTTATATATCCATTGCTAATTTCATAGTACTTTAAACTCTTTACTGCTAGAAAATATTCTGTTAGGTTTTTGTTTTAAGAAACTATCACAGGTGGTTCTGTGCCCTTCCCACCAGAGGTCCCAGTTGCCAACTGCGAAGAGGCTCCTTTCCTGTGACAGAAGGGACGGGACGGCAAGCCTGATGAAGGTGAAGATTTCAAGGCAGCAAGACCATTCCAGGCCCAATACTATCACAAGGTTCTTTTGAAGCAAAAGTGGAGACAAGAAAGTAGAGTCAGAGGATGTGAAGTGACAGGGATGCCTCTGTCTTTGACGCACAGGACTCACCAGCTTGAGATGTGAGTGGGGGTCTCTTGGCTGGGAAGATAGGCAATGGCGGGTGCTCAAGGACATGGTCCTACTGACACTCCAACTTTAGGCCCCTCAAAGCTGCTTCAAACTTCTAGCCCCAAAACTGTAAGAAAATGAATTTGTTGCAAGAAATGTATGTGTAATTTGTTATAGCAACCATAGGAAACTAACACAGGAAAATGACATTGATCTTGTTACACTTTACCCTAATAAGCCAGGCCTTCAGCTATTGAAAAATCACATCCCTTGTTTTTATCATCTTTGTGTTACAAAACCATGGATTCTTTATCTGTTTGTCAGTAACTCTGTTTTCACTAAAAATGCACGCCACATACTTTTAAGCAAATAGTGTTTTCCAAAAGTAAAATCCTGCATCAGTGTACATACAGTGAGGAACGTCTATGCTACCACTGCAAGATAAATTAGTGATCTTAATGCTGGCATTCAAATCTGAGGCATAAGTTCATCAGCCACCTAGCAAATCTCAAGAGGAAAAATGTGCACTTCCCAGAGAGTCAGAAAATAGAATCTGAGGAAAGAAGATGCACCTGTTCATTTCCCAGGCAGCTGTAGCAGAGTATTGCACATTAGGACCCCAGAAATGCTCGCCCTCCTGGTTCTCAAGGCAGAAGTCTGACAGAAAGGTGCCAGGCTGAGCTTCTCTGCAGCCCATTGTGCACTTCTGCCCACAGGAGCCCCACAGGACTTACTGCTTGGGCTTGTAGACAGCTTAGACTCCTGCCCCAAAAGTCTATGGCATTCTCTTAGGAGGCTGAGGCAGGAGGCTGACTACCATCAGTTCAAGGTCAGCTGAGGCTACATAGTGACTGCAAGGCCAGCCTACCATATATATGAAAAGGAATTTGATCCAGCCTGCGGATCAATCCGTGGGGTGTACCTGGAGGAGGAACGGGGATTAAAATAAAAACATGGGGGAGACAGAGAGAGACTGAGGCAAGTTTTATTCCGGAAGTGATTACATCTTTTATAGGCCAAGGGCGGGAGATGGGACAGGAAGAGGCTACGGGGTGAATACAACAGGGTCATCCTCACGTCCGGGTATGTGATGTAAGCAGGAGAGGATTATGGTTAATGTAGGCAGACGCAGTGCCCATAGGAGAGAGAGAGGCAGGGAGGCAGCAATGGGGCTGTCTCGCGGCTCCCTACAGGAATTTAGTAAGAAAAAATGTAACATACCTTCTGTGGTGGCCCCCCACTTCCTGAGGTATGAAGGAGCCAAAGAAAATAATTTGGAAACAAAAATTATTTATTAAAGCACAGGCCTGGCGACGCAGCCTCCAGTAGCCAATTTGGAAGACTGCACGCCTAACAGCTAAAGGGCAGGGTTTTTATCCTGTAAAACGACAAACAGCTGCTGGGCTTCACAAAGCAAGGGGATGGAGTTTGCCGCGCACTACAGGAAGGCGGTGGTTACATTTCTTGGGAAGAACAAGGTGCAGGTGGGCTAACAAGCAAGTTTAGATTAGGCAAACATCTGCTCTTAGAGTTACCTTTGATAGGTTTACAACACTTTCTATCATTTTTTTCCACTAGATCTAGATTTTATTGCATTCATGGGTATTAAATTGTGGTACTAAATTTAATACCACTAAATTGTGGTATTAAATTGGGGCTAAATCCCAAGACCTCATGTATGCTAAACAAGATCTCTACAACTGAACCATCTCTTAACTCCCACTTTGAATTTTTTTTTTTGTACCAAGAATCAAACTCAGGACTTCACTCTTGCCAGGCAGGTGCTTATGCTGCTGAGCTATGTCTTCAGACCTCATTTTGGAATTTAATACAGCTAGGCATGGTAGCACATGCCTGTAATCCCAGCATTTGGGAGGCTGAGGCAAGAAGATTACTGTGAATTCAAGGCCAGCCTGGGCTACATAGTTAGACCCTATCTCAAAAAATAAACAAACAACAAAAAAAGGAACAATGCCTATATATTTGATGTTTTGTGGTGATGAATAGGATCTTTTTTCCTACACTCTGTCTACCTAATTATTGCAAGAATATTATAGTAGTTTCTCCTGAACTAGTATTTTATTGATTCAAATAGTTTAGCTGAACAATTCCATTATCTATTTTCCCTCAGAATTTTTTAATTCTTTTTTTTTTTGAGACAAGGTTTCACTATGCAGTTCAAACAGGCCTTGAACTCAATCTATAGCCCAGGTTGGCCTCAAACTCAGCAATTCTCTCACCTAAGCCTCCTGACTGCTGGGATTACAGGTGTGTGCTACCATGTCCAACTCCCTCCTCATTTAAACAATTTATTTTACTATAATTTCCACTCCCAGTGCTAGGGATTGAACGCAGGGCCTTTGTACTGAGCTACATAACCAGCTTCTCTTGTGTGACTTTTTTAAAATTTTACTTTCTTTTTTACTATTTTTCATTTTGAAACAAGTCCTCCCTAAATTGTTATATTGTTCAAACTCAGTTCAAGCCTCAACATCCCAGAGTGCTGAGACCACAGACATGAGCCACCACTGGTTAATGAAGTGCAGCAGCCCACCCAGGAGACGTAGCTCTTTCTACAACAAATAACCCAGGATGCCACCCTGCTTTAAATCAGACTTACAAGAAGCCAAGTTGCTATCTCTAGTGACCGTCCGTCCAGGCAGCCAACTGATAATGCTGTACCACTGGGGGAAGTGGCCAGGACTTGGTGACAAATTGACAGCTTCCCTAATTTTGGTCCCTGCTTCCAACACAGGACAAACCGGACAATCTGAGTGTCCCTGAGCCTCAGCCTCTGTGACACCCTGGGGTTCCATCAGTCCTCTGCTGCCCTAAAGTCACTGCCAAGACCCAAGAGACAGTGGCCACCTTGCAAGCTGCACAAGCTCCCAGCAAACAGCCTTCGCCTGCCTTTTCATTCAGTTGCTCTTCAGTTATTTCCACAGCAGTTAACAGGCACCTATGAGAACCTGGCCAAGAGTCCCGATTGTCAGTCTCAAGAATTGGTAAGAAAAATGAAAAACAGAGACAAGTATAGGATTTCAACAATGGCTGGGAAGTCAATGTCTCTGGATGGGACTCTCCACTCCCAAAGCAGCCACTATTTATTAGGTGTATACAGTAACAGGTCAGGCTAGTGAAGGATTATAATACATCAGAAGACTCAGACTCAAGAGGGCCTAGATAATCTTATGCTCACAAGTATTTTGATGGGAGTATAATCCTGAGATGACTCAAGAAGGCGAAGATGATCTTACACTTAGAAGAGTCAATGGGAAATCTCAGACCAATAATCCCAATCCTTCCTTTTATCCCATAGGGAAATATGCAAAATTAGCCATTGTGAACTTGTGGTCCCCAACAGGCACCCTTAACTCTCCTTCTTTTAATGGAAATATCTTGCTTTTATTCTTTGGACAAGAATAAACCTTTCATTGCTCAATCTACAGTCTGATTGGTTCCACAATTCAGAGAGGGAAAAAAGTCTCGAAGGGGGGGTCTGAAATTGCTAGGAGAATTTGAAGCTATATTTAGGGAAAAGTTCCACTTTTAGTGTTCTTTATTAATCTAGTTCTACTTTTCATTGGATTTATGAGGCTAGAAATATCTCCCCCTCAAAAAGTAACTAATGATCTGATTGAGAGTAGAGGAACAAAGAAGCCAACCCCTTCCCGGCAGTAGCTACAGGCCACAGGGAGGAGAAGCAAGAAGCCAAGCCTTCTATGAGCCAGCGGTGTGTGCCCAGGTAGGCTGGGAGACAAGAAGAGCGCCACCCCCATCCCGGTACGCAACCAGCTGATCCAGAGAACAGACTGGAATGACAGCTACTGAGGTAGGACAAAACTTTAATGCTTGGAGTGTTTAGTATTTGATTGGTTCTGCAGGCTTAAGGCCAGTGACTTAAGCATCTATTTCAGGATAACAATATGCAGTATAGCAACTACGGAGAACTTCTTTCTGAAGGTGGTAGCCATTGTTCTCTATTATCTTGTTTTAAAGTCCTGTATTGTTTTCATTGTTTTGCTTGGTTTTATTCTGCTGTCTTGTTTGGTTTTGTTATACCTGATGGCATGAGCAGCTATTTCAAACATAACAAGATATATTATAATAACCATTATTGATTTCCTTTTATCTTGCTTGGAAGTCCAGTATCACTTTCATTGTTTTGTTTTGATTGGTTTTATTCTGTTCTATTTTGTTTGATTTTATGATGTCTGATGGTATGGGCAGCTATTTTGAAGATAACAAGAGGCATCATGGTAGCCATCACTGATTTTTCTATCTTGTTTTGAAGTCCTTTATCACTCTATTTTGTTTTGATTGGCCTTAGTTTGTTTGGTGTTTTTTTGTTTTGGGTTTTGGTTTTGGTTTTGGTTTTTTTTTTTTTTTTTTTTTTTTTTCTTTTTGAGACGGAAACAGGATCCCTCTATGCAGTTCAGGCTGGCTTGAGCTCACTTTGTAGCCCAGGCTGGCCTCGAACTTGCAACAATCCACCTGCCTCAGCCTCCCAAGTGCTAGGATTACAGGGATGTGCCACCATGCCTAGCTGGTTTTATTTTTTTTTAACTTTATAACAACTATAAATAAAATACTCAATTTTTTCTAGACAGCATTTAGATTTTTAAAGATAAATAAAATCCTTACCAACAGCAACCAAAGCATTTATGTTCATTTACCATGCTTTCTGAGTTGTTTCACATGCAAACACATTCTGTGTGTGTGTGTGTGTGTGTGTGTGTCTGTCTGTCTGTCTTTGAAACAGGGTCTCACTATGCAGTTCAGGCTGGCCTTGAACTTCCTTTGTAGCTCAGACTGGCTTAAAACTTGAGACAATTCTCCTCCCTCAGCCTCCTGAGTGCTGGGGTCACAGGAATGTGCCACCTAAATACTTTCCTAATGTCAGTCTTCTGTGCTGTTCCTTTAAATTTGCCCTCAAAATGCATTAAATTTAAAAAAAAAAAAAAACTGGTGGGCACGGTGGTACATTCCTATAATCCCAGTAGTCACGGGCTCAGGCAGGAGAATTACCTCAAATTTGAGGCCGCCCTGAGCTACTATTGAGACCCTATCTCAAAAAAAAATCCAAAAGACAAAATTCCAAATGCCATGATCCTAAATGTTTATATTACTGAAGATCAAAATCCTAGCCAGGCGTGGTAGCACTTACTTGGAATCCCAGCAAGTGAGGACACTGAGGCAGAAGGATCTCAAGTTCAAGGTCAGCCTGGTCAATTTAGCAAACCGCTGCCTCAAAAAAATTTTTTTAAAGGAAAGGGAAGGCTGGAGGTGCAGCTCAGTACAAAAGCTTTGGTGCGTGTAGGCATGCATACAAAAGATCAAAACTCCAAATTTCATAATCACAGAATTTAAATTCTGAAAGCTGAAATTCCCAAACATTGCAATTCTCACTGGAAAAAATTGTAAAAGGCTATAGAAGAGGCGTAGAGGTCTAACTCTGGGAAAGGAATTAGCCTTCTTTTGGTTTTGTAAAGAATAGTTGACAATTATGTGCTACTTGTGCCCTGTCAGAAACAGCACCTGCTCACCTTCAAAAATCCTCTTTATCAAAAAATATTTTTTTTAATATGACAAGCTCAGTAACCTTCTGAGCCAAAGGTATGTGCTGATTAGAAGTTGCTCCGGGATTTTAAAACCCCATGTCAAAGAAGATAGACTTCTTATTCTTTTTTTTTTTTTTTGGTAACAGGGATTGAACTCACGACCTGATGCTTGCCAAGCAGGTGCTTACACCACTGAGCTAAATCCCCTGCCCTGACTTCTTATTCTTACTACCAAATTTAAAAGAAAAATGGGAACATGCATTGTTTAACTAACAATGTATGGTACATTCAAAACCATTCCCAGTGAGTTTTTTAAATTAAATATATATATATATATATTTATTTATATATGCACAGACATATATATATATTTCATGCCCTGCTGAATCTGAAAATTGTAAACCTATCTGCTTATTTCTATATTAATGCTTGGATAAAACAAAGCACTTCTATAAATTCTTACTCGAACAGGTGGTGGACTTCACCAAAGAAAATGAATTTCACCTAAATCCTCAAACCATGACAGTTTGCAGTTAGCTGTGGTCAAAATTCCTTTAAGTGAATTTCAAGGTGTTACCAGTAAGATTTGTTCTTTCCATGTACATCAATGTATTTGGCAGAAAGTGAAATGAGTGGATTGGCCGTACAATACAGCAATTTATGTACAATTATTGCATGTTAATTTTCAACTTATTCATATATTTATTTATTTATCTTTCTGAGACAGGGTCTCACTATTCAGTCCAAGCTGGCCTTCAACTCACTTTGTAGCCAAGGCTGGTCTTGAACTTGCAACTATCCTACCTCAGTCTCTTGAGTGCTGGGATTACAGGCGTGAGCCACCACACCTGGCTTTTTTCAATTTTTTAAAAATGTTTAAGAAGATGGAAATTATAAGTACCCTGACTTGATCGTTACATGTTGTATATGTACATCAAATTATTGATAGATTCTGCTAGCCTGGGCTCAGCTATCTGTAACATGACATCTGCCCAACTTGGTACGAACCCAGAAAAGCAACATATTTCTCCAGGAATAATTTCTACCTTCTCCTTCTCATTCCAGAGACAAACCTCCCACTCCCTTTTCACTCATGCATTCACTGAGCCCTCTCTAATCTCAAAACTCCACAACCACCCCAGCACTCCACCCCTACCCCCCAGCAAATCTTTCTGGGTCCTGTTTTGCAGAGGCAGATGCTCCTTCAAATCCACCTTTAATGTGTCATTTGACCCACCTCCCAAACTCCTCCCCAGCCAGACCAGATTAAAATAGCTTCACTTCCTTGTCCTCTCTGAGAGCTCCTGCACCCATTTGCAGCTTTCCCTTGCCCACATTAAAGGCCTTTCTACTTCTTGTCTCTTAGCATTTCTTTAGCACCACTTCAAGATTGAGTGTCAAGGGGCTGGGGATTTAGCTCAGTGGCATAAGTGCCTACCTTGTAAGCAGACAGTCATGAGTTTGATCCCTGGTACTGATAAAAACAAAAAAGACAAAAAAAAAGATTGAGTGTCAAAATAATCGATTATCACACTGTCTCCCATAAATATGTACAATTAATAATAAATTTAAAACTAATTTTAAAATGCATAAGGTGACTTTCAGATTTTCTTTCTTTCTTTCTTTTGTCTTTTTTTTTTTTTTTTTTTTTTGTCTTTTTGAGACAGGGTCTCACTATGCAGTTCAGGCTGGCCTTGAGCTCACTTTGTAGCCCAGGCTGGTCTCCAACTTGCAAAGATCCTCCTGCCTCAGCCTCCTGAGTGCTGGGATTAGAGGCATGAGCCACCACGCCTGGCTAAAGTGAAACTTTCAAAACTGCTCTAGCAATCTCTCTGTCTGATGAAATTCTAGAAGCTTTTACTAAAGTAGAACTTCATTTTCCAGAAGAAATATATCCATTAAATCTGTGTTGTATATCTGAAAATAAGGCCTAACTGGAAAGTAAGCCTTAGCATGATTTGTAGGGTGCTCATTATATAAACTCTACCCACAAAATAAGCTCCAGTTAAGATCGTCAGCCAAATGGATAAGTTCAGTATGTCCACTGCAACACATGATGGATGTATTGAATTGCAAAATAATAATATTAATATGTAATTAACTATAAACAAATAATATTATTGATATTAATATTTAAAGGAAATGATTATGTAAATCATAATTAAGTATTTGTAAATACCTAAGCAAGCACCTTTGGATGAGAGGTGAGCACTTATGTTGACAGATGAACTGGAGACTTAATTACTGAATGACCAAGCAGAGGACAGTTACAATGCATAAATAACGTTCACGCTTGATAAAGAAAGGATGTGCTGTGTCTCATATGAATCCTCATGATTCAATACATAGTATGTTGTAACAGAATACTATCTTGGTTACTTTTCTCTCGTTGAGACAAAATACCTGATGCCCAAAGTAAAGCAAGAAAAGGTTTGTTTAGTTTACAGTTTTTGGAGGTTTCAGCCCGTAATCAGCTGGCTCTAAGGCAGGGTGGTGTGGCTGAGGGGAAACAGTTCATGGTGGCCACAAACAGCAAGAGCAAACTGGTAAAAGAGGAAAAAACATGAGCTCCTTCCTCCCCTGTATTGTATGCCAGTTACCCACCCCTGGGGGGGGGCAGCACTCACACCATGAATCCCAGCACTAGACAACAAACCAATCACAGACACTAGATTCAGATGCCTCCTTAAGAGCAAGAGGCTTTGAGGGGGACACTGAGGCACAAGCCATAACCAGACACTCATGTGAAAAAGGAAATATTCGCTGAATTTTTGTGCCTGAAGTTTTTCATCACTTTTGGGTGGACCATCACCTCACCCCGGCCCCTGGACACCATGCTAGATGACAGATGCCCCTACTATTATAGGCAGCAGAGTTAGACAGAAATATTGCAGGCAGTCAGGCAGGGCTATGCCCTCCAAGGAGCCAGTGCTGAAGACCAGATACCTTGTAACCTTGGAGGAGACAGACACTTCTCCAGCTGGCCAGATCTCAAAACAAAAAGACATGCTGAGAACTTAGTATCGAAAAAAAAAAAAAAAAAACAAAAACAAGACAAAACAAATGCAGCCGTACCCTAAGTACAAACATCAGGGATTGATATTCCAAATAGATATCACCTTGATACCTTGATCACCTTGAAGAAGTCAGAAGAAGCCAGCAATCCAAACTCCTACAGGCAAAAGCCCTGTTCCTGCTTGCTGCATGACTTACTTCTCTATTGAATCCCAACTTAATCTTACCTGAGCAATTATAATCTTACTGGTTGGCCATAGTTCTGTCCCACCTCATGCCCACCTTGTGAGTTCCCATGTTTCCCCCACCTTAGACCTGCCTCACTTTGTGGTTTTACTCTATGAAAGTCCCTGGAAAAGACAATCTTTGGTCACCCACTTGGGACCCCTTCTGTCTCTCTCTCAGACAGAAGCTCTCTCTCAGTAAATATATTCTGCTCTTAACCTCCATTGTTCCTAAAATTCATCAATTTTAGAGAAGCTGAACTCATACCAGACATCAAGTAGGTTGGGAGTTTCTCCCCCTATATCACTACCATCTTTTTCTAGTGAACATATGTATGTTAGAGCAACATTAGCCAGCTGTGCATCGCAGCAGCTGCACTAGGGGAATATGGGGAGCAGGATTTGTGTTCATGCACTCAGTAGACCAATGGCAAGTAGCAACAGGTGGGCCGAGTATGGTGCTACATAGCTGTAACCCCAGCACTTGGGAGGCTGAGGCAATAGGGTGACTGTGAGTTCAGAACTTCCCTAGGCTATATAGTGAGTTCAAGGCCAGCCTGAACTGCATAGTGAAACCCTGAACCTGTTTCAAAAAACACCCCCAAAAAAGTAGCAACAGGTGAGTTTTTGTCCATGCTATTCTCTGTTACATTTTGTGCATTTATAATTTGTTTTATTAAATATTTCTTGATTTTTCTATAGAACTAGCCCAATTCAGTACAATATCACGTGACAATCTGCTTTTACAGTTTTGGGAGGAGGTCAAAAATGAATCATCCAGCCGGGTGTGGTGGCTCATGCCTATAATCCCAGCACTCGGGAGACTGAGGCAGGAGGATGGTTTCGAGTTCAAGATCAGCCTGGGCTACAAAGTGAGCTCAAGGCCAGCCTGAACTGCATAGCAAGACCCCGTCTCAAAAAAGACAAAAGAAAAAAGAAAAAGAAAGTGAATCATCAAAATGGGCATGGTGGCACGTGCCTGTAAGCCTGTATCCCAGCACTCAGAGGCTAAGGCACAAAGATCATTGCAAATTCAAGAAGCAGCCTGGGCTACAAAATGAGCTAAATTCCAGCCTGAACTGCACAGGGAGACCCTGTCTCAAAAAAAAATATGAAGTGAGTCATTGGGTGACTCACCTACTGATGATGATTTGGATCATGTAGACCACAGAAGCTATGGCAATGAGATGAGCAGGACATGACAGAGAAGTACAGAATGAAGACCTTGACTCAGATGAGGAAGAAAACAGTAATCTAACTAAACATTTGACTGGTCAAGATGCTACAAAATGGTCACACAGATCTGAATGACACTGTGTTAGAACTAGGTTGGGAAATGTTTTTAGATTCTTGCAGGAGTAAAACCTATAGGAGAAAATGCCAACACTGTGATTCAATGCGGGAAAGTGTTTGTAGCAGATGGTATGCAATGAGATGCTGTAAAATACACTAATAATAAAATACAAGTAAAACATTCTATATGCATCAATAGGAATACTCAAAAATATACTTATCATGACACCTCACTGTATGAACTAAAAGTCCTCACAGCAGGACTTTATCATTCTAGTCATCAGAATTTAAAGAATTTATTAAGTGAAAGATGTGTCATTGAGGTTTTTAGAAAAACTGATATTGAGACATTTAATTTCCTTCAAAACTACCTACATTCTGACAACAAAAAGACCCACCAAGGAAAAAATAGCCAATAATTTGGCTGCTCTTTACTTTTTTTCTTTTTTATTGGTACAAGGGATCAAACTCACAAGTCCATGCTTGCAAGGCAGGCCCTTATGCCTCTAAGCTAAATCCCCAGCTCCTCTTCACTTTTTTAAAAACAGGGTTTCATTATGCCATTCAGACTGGCCTTGAACTCACAGTGATTCTGAGGCAGGGAGATTACAGATTTGTACCACCAGTTAGTTGTTTGGTTGCTTTTTGAAAGCTTTGTTTCCCTTTGTCAAGCAATGTATACTCTGTCCAAATACATCACCACTGAGGCACAAGTTGCATCATTTCGTAGTTGTTGAAACTTTTGTCAATATAGGCCCAATAAACCTTTCAAATATGGGATAAAAATATATGCCCTGGTAGCTGTGAATGGAATTTAAAAATTTATCCTATAACTCAGCAGGCAGGTCTTTATTTATGTGGTAATAAACTATAAATAGACTTTTTACACCTATTTCAAAAAGTAACCAAACTGTCACAAAATTCAACAATTGGTTCTCTAGTTATCCATTGATGTTACATTTGTTTAAAGAATACCAGTTGACCAGCACAGAAGCTAATCACTAGAACAAAACAGAGATTCCCAGAAAAATATTGCAAGTTCCCAACAGAGAAATGTATAGGACAGTCTTTGGATTTCAGAAGGACTTATATTGCAAAGTAAAACAAAGTAGTATTTGAAAGGTTTTTGGCCCAGACAGGACACTGTAGCCAGAAAAGCCTCAACCGGAAGCAGGAAGCCCCTATCTCCCCCGCCCCTAGGAAGTTACCTGTGACGCCATCTTCCTGCCCCTGGAAATTTACATATGGCGCCAAACCTAGGACCAATAGGCTACCTGTGCATCCCCAATGCCTGCCTTAGGTTCCACCCCAAACAGAGGCTACCTACATACCCCCACGCCACGTGTCTGCTGGAGAGATCACCGGATGCCAGCAGTAGGGGTGCCGGTCATCTCTTTCCGTGTTCTCAGAATAAAGGCTGCTTTTTATTTTATACTTCTCATCTTTTGGAAATATTTTTCAACTTTTGGAAATAATCCTAGCATTTGGTGCCGTGACTCGGATCGGCAGGCGATTGACTCCTGGGACACACCCAGTTGAGTCCCCCAGCCAATAACCAGATAACATCCTGGATTAATTCCGCGCTTTTTCCTCTCCTGAGATGTCCTTGTCACCAGCCGCCTACACTCAGCATCAGCCAGATTAATTTCAGGTGAGCACTACCTGGGGAACTTTTGGCACTGGGCAGCCCCAGTCGACTGTTCTCCCCATTCACGTGGGTCTGTGCATTTTCACGTCCTTAGGACAGCCCAGGGCAGGGTTCTTTCTGGGCAAACCTGTGTCCACACTTTATAAAATCTCTCACATTCTTTGGGTTCAGATAGCCCAAAGCAGAGATTTTTAGACCGCCCACACTAAAAGGACTGCCTCACTTCCCTTAAAGCCTTGATCTTTCACGGGCAAAACTGTTACTGACCCCACGTGGGCTCCTCTCGTAAATCTCTCAGTGACGACTAAAATATGCGAGTTTTTAAAACCGTAGCCACCGCATGGTGCCACAAACGAGTGACGGCTTGTTCTGGACCACCGGCTTATCTCTTGCCTGTATCAGTCATGGGAAACATATTTTCTAACTCCCAAAAGACGCCTTTACAATGCCTAATTTCCAATTTATGTACTCTAAAAATTAAAAGTACCATAAAAACTAAACAATTAACGTTTTACTGCCAGGAGGTCTGGCCAACCTATCTGCTTATCGGCAAGCATTGGCCCAAAGAAGGAACATTTGACCCCTGCATTCTCAGGAACTTATATGATTTCTGTCAAGCTGGCAACAAGTTATTACAACTCCCTTATATTCAGGCCTTTCTTATTCTGAGAACACGCCAATCTCTCATTAAGTCTTGTGCTTCCGCTGAGATACTTTTAGCTAGCTCTACTGCGCCACAAACTTTTCCGTCCTGCCCTCAGGATTCGCTTAAGGACATTCCTCTGGTGTTTTCCCAGCCGCCGCCTGCCTACCCCCAAACTTGTTCCCTGCCGTTATCTCCCACTGGACCACTCTCCCCTCCCGCTATGCCTGATTCTCTCAGCAGTCCTGGTCCCAATGCGTCGCAGTTACCTCCTGTTGTGCAATCATCTCCCTCTCTGCCTTCCAGGACCCATAACTCTCCCAGCAGCTCTAATCCCTCTGTGTTGCAGTTATCTCCCGCTGTGCGATCCTCTTCCCCTCTGTCTTCTGGGACCATAACTCTACCAGCAACTCTAATCACTCTGTTAGCGCTTCCTCAAAGTCTCCGATTTCTTGTTCTCCTGAGAATTCTCCATCCCCTACAGCATTCTCACCGCCCGCCCACCATACTAGGTTTCGGTCGATATGTCCTTCCAGCAGGCCGCGTGATTGTTCCAGCTTGTGCCGGGAATAGTCACCACGTTGCAACCCTCGCCACGTGGCACGGCGCCACCATGTTCAGGAGGATCACATGGCGACAAGGTGCCGCCATGTTTTGGGTCACGTGACAAGGCGCCGCCATGTTCCCAGGACCCTCACTGTCAACGGTTGCCCCTCTGTGGCTCCTCTTGTGAACTGCAACAGCCACCCTGTTGCAGTGCACATGATGCTTCACTGTGCTGCCAACAGCAGTACTCTCACTGCAAGGCACACAATGAGACGCCATCTGCCTATGTTTCCTAGGGTGACTGGCAGCAGCTCTGTAGCCACTCTACAGATGATTGCTCACATGCGCCTACTGGATGGATGGCTGCCCAATGGAATCTGCTCCAGAAACTTCTCCTCAGGCTCTGCTACCACTTTGGGAGCAAGTTGACCCCAAGGGACTTGTTAACATCCATGTGCTTTTTTCCCTTTCTGATCTATCTCAGATTACCTATAAATTAGGTAGCCTCTCTGTTGACCCACAGAATTATATCAGGCAATTTAAATTTATTACTAATTGTTATAATTTACATTTTAAGGATGTTTATGGGATTCTAAATACCACTCTCAACTCACAAGAACAAAATCAGCTGTGGCAGGCAGCTCGAGAAGAAGCTGATCACAGACATAAGGTAAACACTGCTGATAATGACCCTGGGCCTATAGCTGTGCCAGAGCAGGACAAGCATACAAACTATAACAAACTTTTAAAACAGGTTCAGGAGGCTAATAAAAACCCAGCTGTGTTTCTAAATTGGCTTTCTAATCCTCACGCCCCACAAGCAGTTCCAGCTTCACGCGCTGTGTCGGGCCACCTCCCAGCCCCTCCCCCACACGCCCTCCCAGCCCCTCCCTCCCCCGTGCGCCATCGTCATCGCTGCTGCCTTACGTGTTTCCGTGGGCAGTCCCAGCCCGCCCCTGCATGCAATGTCCCAGCGCTTGCCCCACCCCCATGCTGGACGTGCTCTGCCGGCACACCACAAAACAGCAGCTCAGCAGCTCTGCTCAGGCATGCTTTTTTTACAGTTCAGCTCCACTCAAGAGATGCTATTTTTTTTATTACAATACTCAAACCATTTAATCAAGGTTACTGGCCACCTGATAATTTTACCAGCCTTGTTTATCAATCAAAGCCTTCACCAATCTCCTGTTCAACAACTAACGTTATAAATTCCTTTTTTCTGGGAACCAGTAGCTCTATTTCAAGATGAGGGTTTTCTTCAAAGTTTTATTTTATTTGTCATGGTTCATACTACTGCAAATAACAACTTTAAAAAGTAAATGTGTTCAAAATTTGACAGTATTAGATCAGTTTTGATAGATTTATTCATAAGATTGATAAACCTTTACTGCAAAATGTTTCCATTAAAGCTTTTTTGGGCAGACTAAAGCTTTTTTTGTTAATTCTACGTGTCACCCTATTAAAAAGCGATATGCCATCCAGATAAAGCCTGCTCTCTGATCTAAAATGCCAATATTAAATTCCTACATACTTACTTAATTCTACTATAGTCCAAATCTCAAACAAAAAGGGAAAACTTGACCTTCAAACCTTAGAGAGATCTTAATATGGTTTTTCTATTTTTAACACTTGTGACACTTGGAGTTCTGAGGCAGGTAAACCTACACAAGGTGGAGCTGCCTGACCTCCCATGGACCATGCTCAAATGCAGCAGAAGACATTGGACAACAAAATGCCCCATCCTGGCGTTCTTTGAGACCTTACTTCAGGGCTGCTGGACTATCCTAGCCACCAAAGCGTGGGTAAGCCATCCTAACTTCTAGCCCTCCCAGGAAATGTCTACACTGCCAGATTCATTGCTGAAAAAAAAATTGCTGCCGAAGACTGAGGGGGTTCAGGGCAACAACAGCCCCCTTTAAGGTGTCCATCTCAGATTTCAAGTCGCACTAAAGTCTCAGGTAAAACAATTCTCTATATTTGTGGACATAGAGGCCATATATACAGAGTTCTTCCTGAGTTTTCAAGCTACTATATTAAGTCCTCAATCTCTATGACAGGGTATTGATGGTCAACCTATGCCATTTATAAACAGGGCCTATTTCATGCAGGTCCTAGTCCTAAATCTTAAAATGCTTTCATTCCCTTGTGTTTATGCAGACTCATTTAGACACACTGAGGCCTCAACAGCTTCCACCTGTTATTGCTAGTAAACCTCTCCTCAGTGATATAAGACCACCCCCTTCCTTTCTTATTCATCAATTTGTCAGACAACCCTAATCAAGACTAACAGATACATTTTGTCTTCTCACTTTGTTTATACTTATTCAAGATACATAAAAGTCTTTCCCACAACCAGGTAAACTGCTGATACAACCAGGTTACAGCAACCCATGCCTAAATCAAAGTTGCTAGACTGCCATCCTGGTTTCATATCACTCAGGCTAAGAGGTACCCTTCCAACCCTAAATCTGATCATTCTGTGTGGTCATGTCATCTTCTGTCACCTACCCGTCTCTGTCTCACAAAGGCCTCGCAGCCACAGTTAACAGGCTAAGTCATATTTTGTTATCCACTTTGGTTCATAATTTCTTATGTTCTATTAATGATCATTTTTACAGCAGGACTCTTTAACACTATTGCCTATAGACTCCAACATCATGCATACCAGAGACAAGCCTTACCTACCTACCTTTTAACTTTTATGCTTTCAGATGGGGGAGTAATCACCTCTCATAACATCATTTCTCCTAACCTCACACTTAATTTTTCAGAATTCTGCCTTACCATGGAAATGTTTCTACCTCAACATGGTCCTGATAGAATGACATGTCTAAATCAAGGGCACCTTTCCTTCTACCTCATGTGGGTCCTTAAATATGACAGTGCCATGTCTCCTCATAACATCTTGTCTCTTTGTTTTTCCAGTCTAACATATGTTCATTCACCAGTGAAGTTGTCCTGGCCAAAACACCTAGCACCAGCTTCTACCTGGGCATCAACCATCATCCCGTCAACTCCCCTAAGATCCAGTACAACGCCCTCTGCCAGCAGGAAGTAGTTAAAGAGAGAAATCTTCACTCCTTTTCATAATAATAATCATAATACGGGATATGAAAGGTTTTTGGCCCAGACAGGACACTGTAGCCAGAAAAGCCTCAACCGGAAGCAGGAAGACCCTATCTCCCCTGCCCCTAGGAAGTTACCTGTGACGCCATCTTCCCGCCCCTGGAAATTTACATATGGTGCCAAACCTAGGACCAATGGGCTACCTGTGCATCCCCAATGCCCGCCTTAGGTTCCACCCCAAACCAAGGCTACTTACATATCCCCACGCCACGTGTCCGCTGGAGAGATCGCCGAATGCCAGCAGTGGGGGTGCCGGTCATCTCTCTCAGAATAAAGGCCGCTGTTTATTTTATACTTCTCATCTTTTGGAAATATTTTTCATCTTTTGGAAATAATCCTAGCAGTATTGATACTATCAACCATACACCACAATGATAAGATTGACAGTAAAGCCAGGCGTGGTGGTGCATGCATGGAATCTCAGCATTTGAGAGGCTGAGGCAGAAAGATCCTGTGAATTGAAGGTCATCCTGTGCCACATGGTGAGTTCAAGGCTAGCCTAGGCTATATAGAAAGACCCTGTTTCAAAAAAGCAAACAAACAAAAAAAGGTAGTGAATCCTCAGCATAAATAAAGCCAGAAATGATCACATTTTACAACAAAATGAAAGGTGGAGTATATGTTCTTCATGAGTCATGCAGCAACTATTACAGGCAGCTGAGCTAGTTAGAAATATTATGGGCAGTCAGACAGGTCTAGGCCCTCGAAGAAGCCAGCACAGAGGACCAAATGTCACATACCTTGGAGGAGACACACACCTCTTGCTGTGGACCAGATCTCAGGACAGCAGGCAAAACAAATGCACCCACACCCTCAGTATAAGCCTTAGGGATTAGGTAGGGATCACCTTGAGAAGCCAGGTGTCACCACCCCAACCCCCTATGGGAAGAGTCACTGATCAGTAAAGAGTGCTCGCTTGCTGGGTGACTGGCTTCCCCATTTGTCCCTGATTTGATCACTTTTGCCTGCACAGTTAAACTTACTGCTTGACCATAGCTCTGTCCCACCCCAGGCTGTCTGCCTTGTGGTTCCCAGTTTTCCCCACTTTAGATCCACCTCACCTCATGGTTTTATTCTATAAAAACTCCTAGAAAGTATAGAACATACAGAATACAGCAACTCATTTGGGATCCCTTCTGTCTTTCTCAGAGAGAAGCTTCATTCTCTCAGTAAGTATTTCTGCTCTTAACCTCCATTGTTCCTAAAATTCATTCTTCGATTTTATTTATTTTTATTTTTAAAATTTTTTTGGTACTGGTGATTGAACAAATAACCTTGTTCTTGTCAGGCAAGCACTTATAATGCTGAGCCAAATCCTCAGCCTTCATTCTTTGATTTTAGAGAACATGAACTCATACTGGACATATAGTAGGTAGGGAATTTTGTTCCCCTGTATCATGACTACAATGTCACTTGAAATGCAAAGCACTGGGACCAGGGATTTAACTCAGCAACACAAGTGCCTGCCTGGCAAGCGCAAGGTTGTGAGTTTCATCCCCAGTACCCGCCCCCTAAAAAAAAAAAAAGAGAAATGCAAAGCACTGGCCAGTAGTTGTGTTTTATTTCATCCTAAACATGTCAGGAATAAATAGTATCATAATTTACAAAAAAAAATGATAAGTGCAAAATATCACAGAGATTTTCTTAGAGAATTGGGACTGGACTTGATAAAAGATTTATTACAACAGAGGAAATACAATATGTATCTGCCCAAAGAACTCCACAAAAGACTTCTGAAGCAGACAGATGAGCATACAGGTGACACATTACAAGAATCTCCTAGGAAACAGCAAGACCAGTGAGCTGTCAGTATGTCCTACCAAAGAAGACAGGAACACAAAACATGCACTTCACCGTAAGTGATATTTGTGAATGGAACATATGTTTTCACATGTGAAGACTGCCTTAGTTGTCGTAATTGAAGTAAAAATTACTTTTGTTTTGTTTTATTTTGTTTTGCTTTTGAGACAGAACCTCCATATATGGCTTAAACTAGCCTTGAGTGCACTATCTATCGCAGGCTGGCCTCGAACTCTCAGTGATTCTCCTGCCTCAGCCTCCTGAGTACGGGGTTTACATGCATGCACCACCATGCCTGGCTAAGATTATTTTTGTTGTAGAGTTTTATTTATATTTTCATTGTAGTTCATATAGGAATTTATTTCTTTTGTTATTTTTTGTCAACAGTTGATATTCAAAATGTTAATGTTTATTATAAACACTTAATACATATTAAAATGTATTATATATCCATTTTATGCTCCTTTTTAGGAAATTTAATCTGATACACCTCATTTTTGGTGTCATTTCTGTCTCATCAGTCTTCAATTAACACTTTATTTAATGGAAACTTTGTGAAGCCCAACCTGTAAGAGATAGTGACTTGGGTGAAGAATTTCTGGGATAAAATCACTGACAGCTATGTGTCCAACACATTATGAGCAGGCTACATTGACAAGAAGTGCTTATTTAAGAGAGCTCTAGAACAACATGAGAGATTGGGGCCAATGATTCTATAGGAAATGGAGTCCCAAGAAATTTAGGCTGAAATTCGGGGTTTAGAGAGTTATAACGGTGTTCCAGAAGATGACATGACTGCATTTGAATAAATGTAGATTTTTGTGTATGAATAAATGTAGATTGTTGTACATAAAAAGGTAAGACAATCCCTGGAAATAAGCCTTATTGGAGCAAAAATTAATATAAAACAAGCCAGGTAGGCCAGCAATATAGCTCAGTAGCACAGTGCCTGCCTGGCAAGCTCTAGGTTGTTAATTCAATCCCCGGTATCAAACATAAAAAGACCAGCCAGTTGTGGTCACATACCTGTAATCATACTACTTGGAAGGCTAAGGCACAAGGATCTCTTCAAGGCCAGTTTAGGCTACATGGTGAGTTCAAAGTCAATCTGAACTACATAATGTGATTCTATCTCAAAAAACAAAAACAAAAAAATCAATACAAATCTTCTTCTTGGTGTAACATAGTATATTAGGGTATATAGTATGGAATTCCACATAAAAGTTCATGTAACGTGGGAGCCTGGCACAGAGGATGGATAAGAGGGTCCATGGTATTGCATATCAGATTATAGGAGGGTTTCAGAAAGAGCAGCATCGTGTAGAGAAAAATTTATGCACAGTCACCAAGGAGAGCCAAGCCCCCCAAAAGAGCAATAATCATCCAAATTTGAGAGTCCAAAATAGAACAAATTTAAAAAGGGGGCTGAGGATTTAGCTCAGTGCAGACATGAGGTCATGAGTTTGATCCTCAGTACCAAAAAAAAAAAAAAAAAAAAAAAAAAAGGGAATCAGTAATCCAGCTCGTTGGACTGCTTGTGTGCAATTACCCACAATCTAACCCTGTGATATACCTTTATTTTAGTTTTTTTCTAGTTACTTCCCTGCTATTAAAATGTATACATTAGGGGGGCTTGGGATTTAGCTCAGCGGCAAAAGCACTTGCCTTGCAAGCAGGCAGTCGTGAGTTCGATCCCTGGTACCGATATAAAGGAAAAAGACCAAAAAAATATATATACATACATTATTTTTGATAATTTATTGTTTGTACATTGTTTCCAATACTGGAGGTATAAATTGTATAAAGAGTTTGTTTTTGTTTTTTTGAGACAGAGTCCCCCTCTTTGGTTCAGACTGACCTTGAGCTCATTTTGTAACCAAGGCTGGCTTCAAATTCCTTGCAGTTCTCCTGCCTAAGCCGCTCAAGGGTCAGGATTATAGGCATGAGCCACTCATCCACTTGAAAAGACTTTTTGACAACTTGACAATTCATTTTATGCATTTCTCTCTCTTTTTTTTTTTCAAATTTGATTCTAAAAAATGCATTATCCCTGTGGTCTGGTGGCACATACCTATAATCCTAGTACTGGGGAAGCCGAGGCAGGAAGATCACCATGAGTTCAAAGCCAGACTAGGTTATTCAATGAGTTCAAGGCCAGCCTGAACTGCATAGTGACACATTGTCTCAAAAAAAAGTTCATTACTCCAACAGTGACTTTGTACATAAACATTGTGCGTAGATAAAAACACCAAAATATACTTAAAATATCCACAATAAACAAATGACCAACTGCATTTCCAAATTGGATACTGTGGCACATACCTATAATCCCAGAACCCGGGAGTTTGAGGGAGAAGGATCATGAGTTTAAAAAACTAGCCTGGCTATATAGCAAGTACAAGCCCACCCTAGTATATACACAGAGATTGTTTCTCAAAAAATAGAGTCCCCTCGAGTCCCCTCCCTGCACCAGGATTGAACTCAGGGTCTCCTACCCAGTATGTAGGTGTGTCTACCATGAAGCTCCACCCCCAATCCTTTTTAAATTTGAAGACAAGGCCTCACGAAATTGCCCAGGCTAATCTGGAGTTTGTAATCCTCCTGCCTCAGCCTCCCAAGCAGGTGGAATTATGGGTATGCACCACACTATGTCTGCCTGAGGTATGTGATTATCTCATCAAAAGTTAGTCGTGCTTCATGGCGTTTCACATAACCAAAGTTAAAATACTGATGTATAGCAATCATAGTGATATATGTTTATACATCCCACTGTTGGACCTTTTTTTTCTTTTTTCTTTTTCTTTCTTTTCTGCCCCCCCCCCCCCACCATCTATGCAGTTCAGGTTGGCCTTGAGTTCACTTTGTAACTCAGGCTGGTCTCCAACTCCAACAGTCCTCCTGCCTCAGCTTCCTGAGTGCTGGGATTACAGGCATGCACCATCACACTTGATTTATGGACTCTTTATGACTGGTCTTCTCAGAACCGCCATATCTACACAACTGTCATTATACACCTGAGTGCTTATATTCATAAAAATGTGCATGTTATTATTGCTAATTTTACTGTGCAAAGTGACCTAGGAAGTTTTTTATATGCTTCTCAAAAAAAATCACCTTTTTAAAAATGTAAATATATGTCTTTTAAAGAAAAGAACTTTTTACTCTTCTTCCAGAAGTTTGATCTTTCAAGAATTTAAACTCAGAGTTTGGCTCTTTTGGGATTTCAACATTTGGAATTATGGGACTCACAGTTGTGTCTTTCTGGATTATGGCTCACATTCATTTGGGGACCACTTAAAGTATACAAAGGATGTGTGTATGTCATCATATACAAATACTAGGGCTTTATATAAAGGGACACAACCATCTGTGAGTTTTTATATCACAAGGGACAGTGAAAGCAATCTCCCACTGTAAGACCAGTGTCGCAAAGGAGACTCCAAGGGCTCCATTCTCATGTAAGAACAAAGGGGTCTTTATTATTCCGTACACACGGGGTCCTCCAAACAGGTGGAAACGGAAAACCCCGAGTGTAGGTGAGGCAGGTGCTTTTAAGGGGAAAAAACCGCAAAGCAAGTGTTTTTTTTTTTTTTTACAGAAGCCAATCATAGCAGTTAGAGCGGGATAGTCAGCGGTCTGTCTATTTGTGGTTGGTCAGCTCATAAGGGATGACCAGCGGGTCAGAGTTAATTAACTGTCTTGTTCTGCACAACTTATCTTTAGGACACCTGGTTTCTGTATGATTCGAGTTTGACATGCTTTACAACCCTGATTAGCGTAATCGGCAGGCTCTATCTCTGAGTTCCCTGGCACAGCACAGCCCGAGCATATCACAGCTGCAGATGTTTTCTTTTTGATCCTCCTTCGGAGCTGAGTTTGGACTAAGTCATGAGGCCCAGTGCTGTTTCTAGCTGAGAAACAGCATCTTGTTTTTAACCTTTAAATTTCTGGTCCTTCACCACTGATAGTGGGGGCAATGTACATCACTATGCTTAGCACAGAACA